CATTTGATGAAAAAAGGCTGCTCAGATACCAGAACCAGTACAAGAAAGGAAACTACAGACCAATATCACTCATAAACATAGAGGAAATACTCTTGACAGAATCTCTACAAATTGAATTCAGCAAAACATATAAAGGGTAATACGCCATGACCAGTGGGGTTTATTCAAGAATGCCAAGTTGGTTTAATATTCAAAAACCAATCACTAGAATTCATATTTACAGTAAAATAGAAAAACCATATGAGTATCTCAGTAGATGGACACATCTGACAAAATTCAACACCAATCCATGATTTAAAAACAAAACAAAACAGGGGCACCTGGGTGGCTCAGTTGCTTAAGCAGCCGCCTCTTGTTTTGGCTCAGGGTATGATTTCAGGATTCTTTCTCTCTTCCTCTGCCCCTCTCCCTGCTCGCGTGCTCTCTCTCTCTAAACCAAATAAATAAATCTTTAAAAATAAATAAGTAAATAATAAAAAAATAAAAACAAACAAAACAACCTCTCAAGAAACTAATAGAAGGGAACTTCCTCCACCTGTTATAGGGCATCTATGGAGAACCTATAGACAACAACCTAGGTAATGGGGAAAGAATGTTTGCCTCTGAGATCAGACACAAGGTACGCTCACTACTTTTATTCAACATTGTGCTGGGGGACTAGTGATTGCAGGGAAGAAAAACACATAAAAGACATACACAGTGGTTAGGAAAAAATAAATAAACTGTCTTTATTTTCACAGGACATGATCATCAGCAAATGACCAATATGCAAATGAAAAAAAAAAGCTCAACCTCAGGGCCAGGTGTTAGACTCTGGGGGAGTAGTTCCAGGAGAAAGGAACTTCTGTTTTTGTTTACCATAGTATCCTAAACACCTAGCACAGTGCCCGTCCATAGAAGCAGTCATATTTATATTGTGAATGAATGAATGAATGAATGAATAGGCAAATATTAGACTGGGGTGGTTCAGTTCCGGAAGGTGACATTTCACTTCAGCCAAGATTTGATTTTAATAACTTTGAATTTTGGAAAAAATATCTTAGATCTCAATCTTAAGTCAAATAGGAAATTGCCAAAAGAAACTGTCTTCCTTTATCAGTTACGTGTGATGGTTAATTTTACGTGTCAACTTGACTGGGCCACGGAATGCCCAGGTTAAATGTTACTTCTGGGTGTGCCTGTGAAGGTGTTCCTGGATGAGATCAGCATTTTAATTGATGGAATCAGTAGAGTGGATTGCCCTCTCCAATACTGGTAGGCATCATCCGGATCTGTTGATGGCCTGAATAGGACAGAAGGTGCAAAAAGGAGGAACGAGCTTCTTTTCTCCTGCCTTAGTGCTGGAGCTGGGACATCTCACCTCATTTTCTCCTGCCCTTGGATTGGAATTTATACCACTGGCTTCCCTGGTTTTCAGGCCTTTGGTCTGGGACTGACTGCTAGTTTTCTTGATTCTCCAGCTTGCAGATGGCAGATTCTATACACTATAGACACACACACACACATAGAGATATTAGAATATATATATTTTCTCTATATATCCCAATATATATATGTGCAGAGAGAATATATATTAGAATATGAGAATTAGGATATATTATTATAAATTATATATTTAATTATACATGATTATAGTTCTCTATTAAATATATTTATATAAAATAATTCTAAATTATATTAAAATTATATTAGATATATTAGAATATATATATAAATATATTCCGTGTGTTTGTGTTTAGTCTAATAGTTCTGTTTCTCTGGAGAACCCTGATTAATACATTACTCATATGCTCACTCATATGCTCCTATGCTTACTATCATAGCTAAGATTATCAATCCAAAACATTATAGGTTTGCTGCACACGTATCTGTATTTCCTTTTTTAAGGAGCTCATGCCTTCTGATTACAAGAGTAATACATGCCTTCTTTTGGGAATCTAAAAGATACTGAAAACTCAAGAAGGAAATAAAAATTCCCTAAAATCCCATTGCCCCACCTGCCACTGAGCTCTTCCTCCTTCGGATTCCTGTTTTCCTCATAATCTGTTCCACTAATTTGGCACCAAAGGCTACAGGCGTGGAGATAGAGGTTGATATGAAAAGGAATCAGGTGGGTACCTTGGGGACAGAGGGGGACATCCATGTGGAATTTTCCAGCAGGAAATGCAGTCGTAAACCAGGAGAGATTTCCAGTCCCCATGTGAGGAGGGAGAGGGATCCCACTGGTGTCAGGTGAAATCTCAGGAAGGGAAGGAGCCTAGCCAGAGAAGAGAAGCAGACCAAGGAGAAAGGAAGAATCTCTTACAATATAGTTAGTTTATACTTGCTCCAGAAAGTATATGGAATAAAGCATTAGAAAGAACTTATTTTCTCTTGAATTCTTATCCATAAAGGTTTTCCTAGGCTCTTCAGGAGTGAGATGCTTTCTGTATTTTCTACACCTGTGGACTGTGGCCAGCATTCCTTTCACAAAAGAACAAGTTGACATGTGAAGGACACAGAATTAACCAGACAATTACTTCCTGAATGCCATCTTTTCCTTCCTCTGAATATTGATTTCACCTACTCTTTAAAAACACGAATTTGTTTGGAATGGCTTTTCAGAACTGTCTATTTTCACACCCACATTAAGAACAATGAATCTGCTTAAATCTATGTTCTCTGAGAGAAGGCAAGTTTGCAAGTTGTTAAAACGTCTTGCTGAGTTTTATCAGTTGCATGTATTTATCATCTTCCAGCCATCTTCTTAATAGGCTGCATTCCTACTGCTTCAAGGTCTGCTCACAAAGGACAGCCCTCCTGAGTTTTTGTCATTTGCCAAAAATTTCCTATTGGAAGATTTGACTTGTCTGCCCGGACAGAGACAGAAGTCCAGCCATAGCTGTACGAATGGTTGCTACATGTCCCCTAGCAGACAGAGGAGATGCCATCTTCTGAACAGAAAAATGGGAGAAAATACCACCAAGGCACCCACGATCTAGCTGATAACACATGTTCCCCCAAATAACTTGTTTAAAAGACTTCCCGAACAAAAGCAACATAAACACGAACAACTCTATCCAAAAAGAACCTTCTAAATCTAAATTGTCTACCTCAAACACAAGAATCATAGAAGCCAAATTTTCCCCCTTATACGTTCAAATCTCAGTAGGATGGTACACAGAAAATGTTCTCCTTCAGGCCCTCAATCCAACAGTCATTCCAGGGCCCAACCTCCACAATGCGTTGGATCCCAAAACAACATGCTTTTTTTTTTTTTTAAGACTTTATTTATTTACTTGACACACACAGAAAGAGAGACAGGGAGGGCATAAGCATGGGGAACTGCAGAGGGAGAGGGAGAAGCAGGCTCATGACACGAAGGCAGACACTCTTCACTTATTTGCCCCAGGGGCCCCTCGAACTCCACAGGCCACAGAAGCAAATCATCTGGCTCTGGGCATGTTAGTTAACGGAATTGGGCCTCGCTTCCTCAGCTATAAAACAGGGCATTACTGATAGCCACCTCATACAGAAGTCTGTTACAGAGATGAAATGAAATAACACAGAATTGTATATTGCGTAGATCTAGCACATGGTAAAGAATCTACAAGTGTTTACCATTATTCTACCTTCACTCAAACCCATTCCTTCCTCCCCATATAGTCCCCAAATTGACTCACAAATCCACCACCCTCTCATCAAACCAGAACCTTGAGCATTCTCCTTGAAACCTCCCCGTTCCTTAAATTCTGTCCCAGCTGGTTCATTCCACTTCTTAAAGATCTAACCTTGTCTTTCCCGCTCTATTGCCTTAAGTCCTCTGCATCCCCTGGGACTTAGAGCCATTTTTTTCCCTGACCTCACTCCTGCTGCTGTACACCTTTGTTCTAAAGAGCACATTGCGTGACACCACTCTCCTCTTAAAATCTTTCAATGTCTCCCCACTGCCCCGGGGCCAAAATCCAAACTCCTTGGAAGGGCACAGAGGCTCTGCAGGACCTGGTCTCAGTCACTCCCTCTCAGTCCACCCCACCCCTAAGCTCCAGCTGGTCCTCCTTCGGGGAAGGTGATACCAAAGTACTCATCGGCCTCAGTCCACAACTTCTCCAACTGCTGCTGCTTCTTCCAGATGTAGTTTGGGAGCCACTTCCTCTGACGAGCCTTCCTGGACTTCTAGTCAGATGAGTATCTTTCTTCTTTGTTCCCCCTGGGTCTCTGCCCTAACGTTTATCACGCTTTAGTTCTTATCTGCGCACTTATCTGTCCTCCCCAACTAAACGGAGTTGTCTGCCGCAGAAAGATCGCCTTTTATTTCCATATCCCCAGAACCTAGCACAGTGGCTAGCAGATAGTTGGTACTCAAGGTACGTGAACCAGGGCAAAGTGTTTCCACCAAAAAGGAAAGGTTTGGGGGAATCTGTATCAAGGGTTAGCGAATCCCGCCGCACAGGGCTTCACAGGGGTTCTTTCGGGCCTGCGTGGGTAGCCACTGCCTGCACGTCCTTCTCAGTGCTCCACTCTCGCACAGTTAGAGCAGACACAGGGCGGCACAGGCGGAGTCTGCACCGGCGCCTGCAAGTGCACGCTCAGCGGGCTGAGGTTAAATCTTGCGCCCTTTGTTCCAGGCAGCGGAGAGCGAGTGGGTCCGTGCCCGCCCAATCGCCCCGGCCGGGTGCAGGGCCTGCTTGGGCAGAATGGCACGAAAACGCACGGGGGAACGCCGCGTCGGGCAGGGGCGCGCGTGTGCGCGGGCCCTCTCCGTGCCAGCCTCCCGACTTCGGGGTGCCGCGCTCTCCGGCGTCGTCGCCGGGGCCCAGCCTCAGTGCCAAGCAATCTCCCGGGCCCGCCGCCACCGCCGGCGGGAAAGCGCCCGGCGTCCCAGCGTCACGCGCCAGCAACCGGGCGCGCGGCGCGCGGGACGGGGGCGGGGCGGGGGCGGGGCCAGCGCGCCCGAGGCGGGGCGGGGCGGGGCGGGAGCCGGGCACAGGAAGCGCTGGGAGGCCCGAGCCGTCCCAGGGTGCCCCGCGCGGCGTGGACTCGGGCCGCTGCCGCCATCCCGCTGGCGAGAGGGAGAGAGAGGCCCGCCCGCTCGCCGGTCGGGCCAGTGTGGGCCAGTGCGTGAGGGCGCGGGGGGCCGTGTCAGCGAGACGCAGAGCGCAGCCGCCACCAGCAAACGGACATGTTGGAGCCCATCGCCGCCGCCGCCTCCTTTTCCTCATCCTCCGAACGGGACTGAGAGGGGGCCCGCCACCCTCCGCCTCTGCCGCCCGCCCCGCCGCCTCGGCCTCAGCCTCTTCCTGCCCGGCCTCTGGCTCCGCCGCTCGTCGCTTCCCCCCCGCCCCTCAGGCCCGGCCGGTTCCCCGGCCCCGCTCCGCCGCGGCGCGAGGTCTATGTGACCGGCGGGCCCGGAGCAGCCGCCGCCGCAGCGTGAACATGGACGCCGTCAACGCCTTCAACCAGGAGGTGAGGAGTGCTCGGGGCTAGGGGGTGCCGGGCCTGCCGCGGGAGCCAGGGCTCCGTTTCTCCCGCCGCCGGAGGTTTAAAGCTTTGGTCGGGGTGGGGACGCTTCCTGCCCGGGTTTCGGGGCGGCGGGGCCTGCGCAGAGCGGCCTGTGGTCTGGGAGAGGTCGCGGCGGCCACGGGAACCGACCCCACACCCCTCCCCCATCGCCCACCCCCGGGCGGCGACCTCGGGCTGCCCCCCTCGCCCCCTTCCGGCCTCCCCCAGCCCGCGTCTGCGCCGGTGCCTCTAACTTCGCCCTCTTTCAGGTCCGGGCGCTTTCGCTCTCTGCTCCCAGCCCCGTTACTGGCTTCGCAGTGCCGGGAGCCCGCAAGGGGCTAAGAAAGAAGCGCGGGCGGGCGTGTGGGGTTGGGGGCGGGGGAGCGGGAGCATCTGCCGGTCGCTGGGCTGGCGGAGCGGCGGCCTCGGCTCTCCTGTTGCTCAGGCCGCGGCGCGGCGGCTGCTGGACTCTGATCCCGGGTCGGGGAGGAGTTGGAGAGGGTGTTCATCCCCTTCTCCCGGGATTCACATACTTGGGAAATGGGGTTCCCAAATGAAAAGGGGTGGCTCCTTATCATTTCCAGTCATGAACACAATGCTCTTAATGGTCTCGGTGGCCCCAACGTGACACCTAAAAAGTTGAATGGGAGAGGAGTACTTGCTCCGCCTCGGTCCGGTAGAAAGCCGGCTTTGGCCTCCAGTCCCCCACCCTCGCACTCCTCCCGCGGTAGTTAATCCGCGGCTCCCTTCTAGGGGAACATTTACATGTGAAAACCTCCCAAAACCGGGAACAAAGCTGCCTGCCGCCTTAAAGCTCTATAGTTTTGTCTCAAGTCTGATTCCAGGTGCTGTTTTGGGAGCGTAGAGTCCACACATCCTCTTCATCAGAGTCGATTTGGGGAGAGGGGACTTGACCATTGGTGATTTAAAAATACAGTTACAGAATGGAAACTGTTGTCGTATGTTGAGTTGGATTATTTTCCTTTTCCAAACACTAAAGATAAACCCAACATTGAAAAAGTGAGATGTAGTGCTGTAGCTCTAGATGTCTTGATACGGCGTTAAAAACTTGCATCTCACAATAAGGTTTTGTAATTTCACTTGGAACAGAATGAACGTGCGATAACTTTCCTTTAGATTTGCAGTCCCGTAATATGGGATCCTCCAGTAACACTGCAGTTAGGATCTTTTATTGCCTTACAGATTATCCTAGAAATGATTTGTCTTCAACCGATGGGTGCATAAAATGTCTTAACTGGAGTAGCAACTGGTGTTGGCCAGTGTGATGATTTTCAAAATAACGAAATAATATTTCCTAATATTTGATGGCTAGAGAATTTGTCATAATGCTCCAAAGATTTCAGGTCTGGAAATTGACTTGGTTTCTTGAAGGCAAAGTTTACTGGAATGTTGGCTCCATGAGGGTAGGGAGTTTCTGTTCTTTCCTCCTCCCCTCACCATAGGAGGCCAATACTTGTTGAATGCATGAGAATTTTACAAATGGTACAAGAGTTTTTAAAAATTATAAGTACATTTCTTTCCCAAGATAAAACCTTATTGACTCTTTTTAATGTTAACTTTTAATGAAGAAGGGGATTTTTAGAGTATTGTTAAGATCAGAAGTGTTTAATTCTGAGTTAAGCAGTGTGGAAGTTGACAGTAAGCACATTAAGCAAAATATCTTATGTTCTGGAAAAGTGTGATCAGGAGTTGATACTTTGAAAAACAAAAATAAGGTAGGATACTGACTTCTCAAAAAAGGGAAATGGTATTTTAACCTTTTTAAAATGTGCGAAATGAGAGTTTTCCTATCATTATTCACCTTTCTGCTCAAATTTTTATTTCCATTCCTACTCTTTATGAGCTGCAGATTACATTATGTTAGGTGTGTGTTGCCAGTTCTGATTTGGGAAGAAACTTTCTTCTGGAGAAATTAGTCTGACTTTAAAATTCATCTTCTTGTGTTGTTTGATTTGTAGTGCTTCTCAGTTATTACTCCCCATTCATGAAATGTTATTGGTTAGTTTGTAACCTCAAATCTCCCAAGTCTTACTTTAATTTTATAAACTTTTAAATGCAGGCTCAGCTACAAAGCTGTGTCCTGAGTACTGTGGTACTACCAAGGATCTCTGTCCCCTAGGAGCCTGATCTAATAGAGGACACAAGACTAAGGCAAATAACTTTAACATGTGATAGAACAACTTCCTCTGGGGCTCTTAAAAAATACCCTGGGATGGCTATGAGGGATCAGTGAAGACTTGGGAAGAGAAGGTGGAGTCAGTTTTAGGATTTCAGAAGGTGTAGGAAAGTAGTGATTGAAGGGCAACAGTGCTGAGGAGTGAACAGTGGTTTGATTCCAAAGGCTACTGGAAAGTAAAGATGGTTAAGTAATTTGGGGCCTGACAAGTTTCATGTCTGTCTAATATGTTTAAATTCCACTTTTAGGCTCTAGATAAACTGAAGGTTTTAAGTAGTGGAGTGATATGATCAAGAAAACTGCTTGCTTTGTATATATTGTAGAAGGCAGAGATTTGAGGAAGATTGGCATTTTGAGGACTGAGGTAGAATTGAGTAAAATCTGAACTTGGCATGTCTGTAGTGGCAGGGAGAGGAGGGATCCGTGGACCTGCCATCTGAAAGGCTAATAAGCCCCTTTTGCCCCCACATTCTAGGTGCTGGGAAAGTGGTGATGCTACTAGCACAAGTCAAGCAGTCATCATAAGCATATTTAGTGGAAGAGGAAATGTTTGGTTTTTTAACAGGTTGAGATTGAGTGGAAAAGTCATGTGGAAATTTTTGGCAAGCGGTTGGGCATGTAGGACTCAAACTTGGAAGCAACCAAGAAATAGAGGAAGACATATGGGAGTCATTCTCAGATGTGCCCTGGAGAAAATTGAGAGGGGGTGAGAAAAGGAATTAATATTTAATAAGCATCTATGGCATATCAGGCATTTTATAAATACATGTCGGATATTCCCACAACCTTGCACAGACATCCATTTATAGATGAGGAAACTGATTTTCAAAGAAGTTAAATAATAACTGGCCCAGGGGCATACTGTTAGCTAATGGTAGAGCTGGGATATGAATGCACATCTCTCCATCTTAATTGCTGCCTAAAGATAATATTTTGTATAATACCCAGGGAGCAGTTAACAGGTTAAGACTTAAGAAAAAAGCTACTAAAATTTGAGAGTAATGGGATCTGAAGTTTAAGGTTGAATGGTGATGAAGGAGATAAGGAAATAAAGGTCACAAATGTAGTCTTTTTTAGAAGTTTGGTTCTGAGGGATTTAAGGACAAAGTTGCCTCAAGAATGAAGGGAAGGAAGAGCATTTAACAGGGTAGTAGGCACTAGTGGTAGGCCATTTGTATGTTTGTGTAGCATATATGTGATCTTAGCCTTAATAAGTGATGTTGAAGCCTTGGTCTCAGGAGTGGAAGTTTGAGCGTGTTGGGGGAGGGGAAGTGTAGAGAAGCACAGTTTAAAAATAAAAGGGCTTGCTTAGCACACAATTGTGGCTAAAAGGAAGGGTACAGATCATAGGTAAAAGAGGTCAGTATCTCTGATATGGGAAGGAAGATAAAAAGAATGAAGTTATTAAAGATACCCTTTAAACAGGAGTTTTATGGTGAGACGCTTTGTTAAGTGTTGTAAAAAGTTGAGTGAAAAAAATGAGTGACTAATTATAGCCAATACTTAATTGTTTTCTGCTATGTTTATATATTCCTTAATGTGAAGAGTTTGGTATTTTGTAAGTTTGTTGAATGAATGAAAGTTACAGATTGGTTAATCCATTGATTTCATTTTTAGCCTTTAACCAGTCTTTTCTAATCCCAACAGATTGTATCTTCCCACACTTTTGGGAGGGAGCAGCGTTTATGATTTTAAGACTTTTAATTAGGGGCAGCTGGGTGGCTCAGTCCGTTAAGCATCAGACACGATTTTGGCTCACAGTCCTGAGATCAAGCAGGTTGGGCTCAGAGCTCAGCATGGAGTGTGCTTGAAATTCTCCCTTTCCCTCTGCCCCTCCCCCCACGAGCGCAGGACACCTGTACTTACTTGCTCTCTCTAAAATAAAATCTTTTTTTAAAAAAAGACTTAAAAGTATAAAAAAGTGCAGAGAAGATATAACAAGAATGGACAGTTGTTACTATTATAAGTGTTTTTAACTTAAGCTTAAAATATTACAAGTTAAAGTCCTTTCCTCCCACAGAGGCAATCAAAATGCATTTAGTATCAATTTCTGTGGTACATAAGCAGTATATAATCTGTATTTTGATATGCATAAGTGGTATATTGTATATACTCGTGGGCTTTTTTTTTTCTCAAACGTTGTTAACATTAAGATTTCATTCTAATGCTGGATATGCCATCATTTGAATAAACCATATTTTATTTATCTGGTTCCCCAGTTGATGAACATTTAAGTTGCTTCTCAATTATTGCTGACAAACACTGAATGAACTTTCTCAAACATATCTATCTCCATTGTATAAGAGTTTCTCTGGGACAGCTGTTCTCAAACTTTGGATTTTGACTCCTTTAACTCTTAAAGGTTAAGGGCTACAGAGAGCTTTTGTATCTGTGGATGATATCATACACATATATATATATATCATATGTCTTTGGGATATTTATCATCTTAGAAATTTAGTCTGAGAAATGCATTTATTGAAAATAACAAATCCATTATATTTTAACATAAATAACATTTTAAGTGAAAAATAATGTTTCCCCCCCAAAAGTGAGAAGAGTGACATTGTTTTACATTTTTGCAAGTCTCATTTCAACTTTGGTTTGTAAACCTGTATTCTCATATCTACTTCTTTATTCAGTCTCTTGTAATTAGACACATCAGGTAGCCTCTGGAAAACTTCGCTGTACACTTGTGAGAAAATGAATGAAGGGGGCAAGAAATGTTTTAGTATTAAAATGAAAACAGTTTTTACCTCACAGACCA